AAATGGTGCAGCCACTTTGGAACATAGTTGGTAATTTCTTAAAAAGTTAAATCCAGTGCAGAACCCTTGACAAGGGACCGCATACCTAGTACAAACATGTGATGCTGCAGCCTCTCCTAGAAACGACTAACCCAGGATATGCTATATCCCACTATCTGTCTGACCACGCACCCTCTTCCCTCATTTCTTTGGATAGACATGAAAATTGCCTTTTCAGAATTTGAGATGGGCTAGCTTGGATCATTGGTACTTCTTTCTTTCCTTTAGTCTACTGAGGAGCAGAGCAAGTTGGCCGGATTCTCCTGCTATGTTCTTATCCATTTTATCTAAGTTCTATAAAAGCTAGGGCTCTTTAGTGGGCATGCTCCACATATGTACATATTGAACAAAACTTAAGGATGTTGATTACTCAGTATTATATCAGATAATAAAATCCCTTGATGGCAACTTGGATTAGTCAATGGCCATTACACTGTTGTTCACAGCACCATCTGAAATATAGCCAAACATGTCCACCTTTGCCTCTCATCTAATGCCCAGGAGAAAACCTTCCTTTGTCCATCTTTGTCATTGGTGACAGGACCCTCTCTGAGTCTAACTGTCTGTGAAGCAAAGTTCTCCTTTGGTTAACAGAAATGCTGGATAAAAATTTCAGAAATGTCAATCTTAAATGACTTATGTTATAAAAGCCTTACAAAACTGCTTGTCTTTTATTGCAGCTACTACATCATGATGGGGAAGGGGTAGAGAAAGAAGAATTTCAAGGAAAATGGCCTTTTTAAATTTTCCTTTTATTTTCTGTGATCTCTTTATTAGACACAGTATGTGTCAGCTATTCAACTCATAAAAAAGCAGAAAAGCATGCCAGGAAAGGAGAAGTATTTTCTGTCTCTCTCTTCCTGTGAAAACTTCAGATGAGCTCATCTGTATTCTCCCCTTTCAATGAAAGATATGCTCAATCCCTCATCTTCTTCTCATTTTCCAGTGATGATGTCAGGCAGGCCTTACAGTATCTCTTTTGTGATCTTATAATATCAGTGACAACCAAAAACGCTTCCCTTATGGCTATGACCTCATCCATGGTCTACACCTGGACAGGACTCATCTGCATTGGTAAGTAGAGCTAAACTCCACTGATCCAGACTGAAGCAGTTTACCAGTAAACTACTGCTTTCCTTCAAAACTGTGCCTTTGCCATTCAGATTGGAAGGTTCCTGAGCAACCTGGCTGAGTGTTGAATCTGGCTAGTCGAGATGGCTCTCCCATCTTTGCGCCCATATGTATACACACCAGAAACTCTCCTTTATCCAGAACTGTCTATACCTGATGTAAAGTAATCAGTACTTCAAAATGTGGGTATGTGACATTATGGGGACATTCTTATACTCCTCCCTACCTCCTATTATCCTGCCATCCATGGTATACCACTGTCATCTACATTCTGAGCAGTGAAATAGGTATCCAATTAAGTCAGTTTAGGACAGAAAGGAATTTTGTGGCCCTGTGTTGACCTGGCTGTGAGCTTCTGTTCTGAACCAGGGAGGGGGACAGGGAGATGCTGGTTATCTCCATGCTGACACGCACTTGCAAAGTACCCTCAAATCTCTGAGACTTACAGATAAATCAACACATAATGGATGAGTTTGGAGAAAAGCAAAAGGATACCAAAGACAATATTTTAGAGGCCCAAAGAAGGCAGACCAAGAAAGGGTTTGGCTGTAAGAGCATGTCTGAAGCTGAATGGTGTTTACATGTTTAAAGAAAAATTGTGTACAGAGTAGCAATGGACCTAAAATGAATCTGAGAGGCAGAATTGTCAACACAGCCAATCCAGAGGATGGGGTAACTCAGTGGAAGAGGTCTGGTTGTGGAGAGTTCATCAGGCCCATGTGAAATATTCCTTACCACAATCTATCTCCCTTGCTCTGAATCGAGGAAGTCCAGCCCTTTCCAGATGGCTAATCCAACTTCCGGGGCTGGCATGGAGACATTGAGGGTGAGGTGCCCTCCAAAGGCCTTGCGAGTGTTCTACTCTCTGAAAAGGAGTCTCCTCTACTGTAAAAATAACTTGGCTTTTGTTTTATGCATTATCCTCACAATAATAATAGCTAACAAATATTGAGTGCACAATTATAAGCATTTTATATGAATGTATTTAATCTTCACAGGAACCATCTGAATCGAGTATTATTTTTATCTATTTTTATCACCATTTACAAATGAAGAAGCCAAGGCAGAGAGAGCAAAGAAGTTGCTCGAGGTTATATAGCCAGGAAGTGACGGAACCAGGATTTCATTCCAGACTAGGAGGCTGCAGAGCCCTCAGGCTTAACTGTCATACTCTGCCTGCCCTTGTGAATTACTGTGAACAAGTTTCCCTACCTCTGGTCAACTCGGGCACACTGGCAAGACCAAAGTTCATACCTTCCTTACAAAATCATGGGCACACCTGAGTATGTTGAGCCTCAAAAAGATTTTTTTTTCCCTTTTTGGTCTAACATCCATACAGAAGTCAAGACAAAAAGTCTGCAATGTTTTTGGAAGTACAGAAGCACAGAGATTTACCATGAAGATTAGACTGCACTTGAGCTGAATCAGTTCCTAAGGCCATACTTGAAAAATTTCAGTGTGAAGACTTATAATGAAAAATACATGGAAGCCAAGTTGGACTAATGTTTTACACATTTTAGAATTGCTTTCAGGATGTGTTTCATTTTAGAAAAGCTAGAGAAAGAAAACGAAACATTTACTGAGTGTGAACTATGTGCCTGGCGTGGGGCTAAGCGCCATCTTATTTAACTCACAACGATCCTATAAGATATTATTGATTTCATTTTTATAGATGAGAATGAAAACTTGGTGAGATTATAGACTTTGTTCAAGATAAGCAGCATAATTGGTAAACAAATTTAGAAATGCTCGACACTCATTTTCCCCTTAAATGTAGTGTATATATTAGGGCGGTATTTTATATACCACTACACAGGATTCTGATGCATACATTTGAAGGAAATTGTAACTCTCTCTCCATTCTAGGTAGTATGTAAGCATTATGGAGCACAAAACTCAGGCCTTATTTATTGCTGAATGTCCCATGATACTTGGCGGAAGGTGTGCTTAGAATAGTAGTGGGTATGCCACAGGTGTAGATGATAATCCCAGGTAAAGACACAAATCCAATCTCAAGCCATCATATTAAAACACATTTTGAGCCTTAATGTTTAGTGGGACTATCAGACTCATCAGCAGATCTGAACAAACCCCAGTACTGAAGTATAACGACCCAGTCCCCTAGGTCCTAGGTGTGGTGTTTGTGACCTACTTCATCGGTTAGCCCCTTTCCTCCCATTCCTCAGTACCTCTTAGGCTGCTCTCTCTTTTATGGCTTTGAACACTTTGGCAGCCTCCACTAGCTTTCCTTCAAAGAGCTGAAGACAAGTCTGATGTTACAATTGCCTTACTTAATTCCAGACAGGTTTCCATTCATCGTATTAAATTCAGGTGAACAAAGGGTATTTAGTCTGTGATGGAGCTGAACCATATCTGGATAAATATAAACAAGAGACTTAATCCTGTAAGAGCCACCATTTGCCAGCAATTGGAAGGATGTCAGCAGTGCCCTTGCTAAAGGCAGGTTGGAGTATGGAAAGCAGAAGAGCTTTTACGAGATTGGTGCTGAGCATCTGGACTCTGTATAAAGAGGGGAATAACGATTGTAACTGGAATACATTAGGAGGAAAGCAAATGTTCTGCTCACTCAAAAAAAAAATAGGCATTAATAATATCAGTCTTTAATCCACTCCAGGGCAATCTTAGCTTGCCTTATTCACTGCTGACTTTCATCTTCTCTGGAAAGCCTCCTGCTAAAGGTCCCTTTCCAGATCGGCCTCAGGTCATGGGGGCAGAAATGCTGTTGCTAAACAGATATGCAAGGGAGTAGCATGTGTGACTAGAGAATAGTGTGACAACATAATCCCAGCATGGACCGATGAGGTTAGTGTGGGGTGATGTTGGCTTTTCTAGCATCTACTGAATCATCTGACGGGAGCAGCAGTTGAAAAAAATAAATACAAACACATGCCACATACCACCAAAAAGACTGCATGGCCCAGAACTGCGAAAAAGGATCCCACTTTGGTAGGATCACTGGGGAAATGGAAGGAACAATGAGCTGGGAGTCAGGAGGCCTCGGTTCCCTTCTTATCTCCACAACTAGTTGGGTGGTTACATGACCTCAGGTTACAGAACCCGGCCTCTAGAAATGAGGGCACTGGTACAGTTGGTACCTAAGGTCTTTTTTAGTTTCAAAGGCGAGGATTTGTGTCCTATATTAAGAGAAGTTTTTATAAAGTCCATGATGACAAGACCACAACCTTGGGAGATGCTGTACTCTGCACTGCAGTTTTTCTTAAATCACCATGTGCAGAATGTTTTGCCTAACTTTATAGATAAAGGGAAAGTGTTGGCAGGTGCATTAGAGCAAGAGGTTGAAATAAAACAGAATTGGAGAGAACAACACTCCTGCTCCAAACCGTGACTGTGGAATTCCAACTGCCCGTGAGTCTTCAAGTCTTCTTTGCAACAGGGGTAACAAGGAGAAATGACGGGATCCCAAGTGAGCATTCAAGGTCTCAGGTCACGACTCATGTTCCTGAACATGTTACTTACTCGTACACAGCTCCTTTGCTCATGTTGTTCTGTCTTCCTGGAATATTCCCCCCATCTCTGCTTATCGAAATCCACCCATTCTGACTCTAAAAATCTCCCAGATGGAATGAATGTCCTGGCACACTCTTAGGTTATCATTTATACCACGTATTTCATTCTACCTCTTATTGTATACTTCATCTCCATTTAATTGGAATTATACGTTATAATCTCTCTGAAGGCAGGGTTTGAATCTCATTTATCTACGTGTTCCCGGGCCTGCTCGCTACATCATAGGCATCCACTCAAAACAGGGTCATTCTGAATGGAACCACACAGGATTATCACATTACCTGCTAATGTGACGGCAATGGAGACAGAGTCATATCCCAAGGCATTTGTGGCGTTACAAGTGTAGAAACCCACGTCAGCTTCCACTGGTGCCAGGATCTGTAAGGAATCATCTGGCTGCAGAAGAATCCTGGAGGAAAAAATGGAGACCTGATCAGGTCAGTTGACTCCTTTTTGGCATTCAATACTGGTAAGGCAGGAAGGAACCCTGTTTTATTTCTATTTCTATTTATTTATTTAAGGTAGGCTCTATGCCCAGCATGGGGCTTCAACTCATGACCCTGAGATCAAGACCTGAGCTGAGATCAAGAGTTGGACGCTTAACCAACTGAGCCACCTCTGTGCCCCTGGAACCCTGTTTTAAAATAGAGACAAATTGGGCGCCTGGGTGGCTCAGTTGGTTAAGCGACTGCCTTCGGCTCGGGTCATGATCCTGGAGTCCCGGGATCGAGTCCCATATCGGGCTCCCTGCTCAACGGGAAGTCTGCTTCTCCCTCTGACCCTCTTCCCTCTCGTGCTCTCTCTCATTCTCTCTCAAAGAAATAAATAAAATCTTAAAAAAATAAAATAAAACAGAGACAAACCAGCCACAGTGACATTCAGGAACCCAGGCTCTCTTGCCACTTTGATTGATGTGATTCTGAGAGCCACCCCAAATGAGATTTTTGATTGCCTATGCCGCTTGTTGATTACTTGTTGATTACTTGATCTAAAAATACCAGTTGGAGTAGACAGTGTATGTTTGCTGAATACATATTAACACCCACATCACGGATGAGAGGGGAGGCTGGAATGAATGGTGCAGATGGGTTTGGGAAAGGCCTATTAAGGAGAAGGAAAAATCATAAAGGAGGAATAGAGCTTCGTTGGATGGTGGAAAGAAGGCAGAGCTTCCAGACATGGAGAAAGGCATCTGGAGTAAAGGCTTGGAGGTGCATGAGAGGAAGCCAAGAATCCAATAGTGATGAGAGGATCCTGATGCATACGTTTGAAGGAAATTGTATGTCTAACTACATCTCAATTCTAGGTAGTCATACTTAAATCTATTACCTTCATTAGTCTGTAAACATTATGAGGTATAAAACTCAGATCTTATTGTTTCCCATAATACTTAATAAAGGACCCTTTGTAGAGAAGGTGCCCAGTAAAATGAAGGCAAAACCTGCCCTTCAGGACAATGGTAGAAATTCCAGAATAATCACCATCTAGTTCCAACACTTTGCTTTCCCTGAAAAGAATTACAAGCATCACATTGGGAGTGCCTAGCAAGAGCTTCAAGACCCACTCCAATCTTAGTCTACCCTTTGTTCTTTTTTGGATTTATGCCATTTCTAAGAACCACTTGCTACATCACGGCAGTTAAGTAGGTTAGTGACTAATGATGACTTGAAGTTTATGTCTCAGTGACTTGATGAGGCTGATGACAACTGGATTGTATAGGTGGAGGTGGGAATGTAGAGGGGGCAGGGAGGAGGAGAGGACTGGAAGCTCAGAGATCCAGTGCCTGGACCTGCCTGGGCCTTAGGTCAGCAAACCACAATGGCCCAGCAATGCCTTACAGGTGGCTTATGGGCTTCTAGAGTCAGTCATTTCCATCTTTGTGATAATTTCCACCTCCTTAGTTTCAAAAGGCCCAAAGATCTATTCACCTAATATCATGTTAACATCCACCCTCAGAACGTAAGCTAGAAACAGGGGTCATTTTTCAGGAAAGGTGGGGAGAGGGAAAGCATGAAAATGTCAGAAGAGCTCATGAGACTTGGTGGTGAAATTAAGACTAGGAGTCCAACCTCCTGCCCCAGCAGTATGTTCTCCCCACTATAAAACTCTTTCCTTTCTTCACTATCTCTCTTGCTGGGTCCTCTCCAGACTCTATGTTATTGACACGTTGGCACTGCCTCTCATCAGCTTTTAGTTATTCTGCGGTGGGCAACCAATCTGGCAACGTCACGCTTCCTCAACTCCATTTTTGGCCTTGAGCCAATTGCATTGCTTACTCTTACCTCTTGGCAGAGGGAAGGCAGGAAAGAGGAAAAGCAAGGCTTACATGTATCAGTCTTCAATCTACTTATGCAGTTCTGATAAAAATGGGGAAGGAAACAGAAAACCTCAGCTGAAGGGAAGTTTCTGGATGGTCTGTGTTTGAGTCAGTGCCATTCCACACCATCACCACAATTGCTGAGGAGAGTCAAGTTTTTGGGGCACTGAAATGGAACTGAAGTTTTGTGAGGGGTGGGAGAGAAGCCATGAGAGATTGTGGTAGAACTCATCCACTCACTCATTCACACATCCATTAAATGCTAAGTGAGTTTTCTTTTTTAAGATTTTATTTATGTATTTGACAGTGAGAGACACAGCAAGAGAGGGAACACAAGCGGGGGGGTGGGGTGGGAGAGGGAGAAGCAGGCTTCCCGCTGTGCGGGGAGCCCGATGTGGGGCTCGATCCCAGGACCCTGGGATCATCACCTGAGCCGAAGGCAGACGCTTAACGGCTGAGCCACCCAGGCGCCCTCTAAGTGAATTTTCTCAAACAATTACATGTTAGTCTATTTCAAAGGAGCTAATAAGAGAAAGATGACGATACACACTTATCTTTGGTAAACTAAATATTATGTAATAATGTCACTATCTTAAAAAAGAATCATAACAGAAACAACTATATAATCATTGCTAAATCTCTTCAGGTATTCAGGCTGTTTGATATTAAAAAAATTAAAAATTGACTTTATGATTTAAGTCATGATGATGTCCCAGGAACATGTATGCGTCCATAATGACTTCCAAACGCAATAATAAAAGTAGGCTTAACCAAATTTCAGTAGAACTGACTACTCATCATGACTGCGTTTAGTCCATTGTTACTCAGTTTTATTGCACTCAAAAGGCAGGGATTAGAATTTGCTAAATTCCCAAGTCCATTGGGATGGCTGTCTCCCTAAAACTGGCACCATCTCTCTCTTCCCTACAGAAAGCTTTCTTGAATTGAACATTCAGAGCAGGAGGCTAGAATACCGGTCTTCTGAACTTTATTTTGGTCCTGCTATTGTTTAAGTAGTCACCCCTGGCAAATCCCTTCACCTTCCTACATCTCAGCTTATCCACTTCTCAAACCCAGTTGAAGTAGGTTTTCCCTACTCAGCAGAGGAAGCTGTGAAAAAAGGTATATAAGGAATTTCCAGACCATTTTTTGGCATTTCCAGTGATCCTTTTTTTGGTAATGTTGGACGCTCTGAATGAAGAATTAAATGTGAGGAAGGATGGGAGTAGTAAAGGTTGTCAGAAAGGAAGAGAGGGGCACAGGCTATTGGCTAATTCTCTGTAGCTCCCAATTTATTAGATCTCCATATTCAGGTCATTCCCCCCCCCCCCCATAGAACTACTATATCAGCCTGATCTCATGCAGGAGGTATAAAACCCACTCCCAACAGTGGGCCTGAGCCACCCATTTTTTAAGGTGGGGGGGTTAGCTTTTGTAGCTGCACCACTTATAGGCACGGGTGCTACGGAGTGAGCCATAATGCTTTCTGAGCAGGTCTGAAGCTTGGAAAATATTCTCACAGAGGTGATGAAGAGAAGGAGAACTTATGGGGCTGAACTAGGATGGGAATAGTGGGAGTGAAAAGGAACGAACCCAGACCTTGAGATTTACCACTTGCATGTTCTTTTATTCCATAAAATGTATATACAAAGACAGAAGATAAAGTATTCGCCTTCATTAAAACGTCTTAAATATTAACTTAGGACAAAACCTACAGGGGACAAAAGCTGAATTTGTCACTTATTGCGTATGCTTACAAATTATTTAACTCATAAAACTGAACTTGTAGAGTCGGAATTTGAAATAGAGATTCTTGGTCTAGCACCCCTTTTTTTTTTTATTAAATTTTTTATTGTTATGTTAATCACCATATATTACATAATTTGTTTTGGTGTAGTGTTCCATGATTCATTGTTTGTTCATAACACCCAGTGCTCCACGCAGAATGTAGCACCCCTCTTTTTCAATTTATCATGTCTTTTAGTATGTCCTCAACTTTGGTAGATGGGGGTTTGGAGGCTGCCACCAGGGGGAGCAGTAGTTCTGAAGAGGGTTCCCATGCAGGGCTCTCTAGGAAACATGACAAAGCAAAGGGCTTTGCTGTGAAGCCTGAGGTCGGCTGTAGTCTTTCTATCTAGCCTGGCATCTAGGGAGAGAGATTCCTGGGGAAAAAAAGTTTTCTTTGTATTTCAGGCATCTACTCTATTAATTTAACTTAATTTGTTAGTAGCTGATTTCTTTTAGCTTGTATTTTGTTTTTGGATTTGACAGGCCTATTTTAGAATGCACAGACACAGAAAACACAGAAACATAGTGCTGCTTTCCGAGCAAAACCAGAAAGATTTCTCTGGAGTTGTTTTGGAATTTAAGGAATCAGAGAATGAGAGGACATGGAATGGAACATAATTAAGGCCTACATAGAAAATGGTCCTGTGGTCACATTAGGGATATTAATACTAGCTGCTTTACTCCCATACCCACACCCCACTTCCCTTTTGGTTTACTGAGCTAAAACTTACTGCTTTATTTCCCTGGTCATACAGTTAGCCAGAAAAGAAAGGAGTTTTGCTTTTCTGATGGCCTTTACTTGTGATCTTCTTTGTGACAGCATGTCTTCTCAAGCATTCTAGCAAAGGAGTGGCCGAGAGTAAAAATAATTGTTTTAGTTATGTAAGTATGGCCCTTGTCCACCTTGTGAGTAGGATTTGGACAAAGTGCCCGTGGGCCAATCCTACCAAGTATATGCTCCTTGAGGTGAAGTTGTTGCCTCTGCATTTGTAATGTCCTATGAGAAAGTACTCTTAGTTGAAAAGGAGGCAGCTCTGGGTGTCTAAGAGAAAGTCTCTAGCAATTCTGTGAGTGGGGTGGCATCATGATGCCCTCTGAATCCTTGGCTCAACCATGACCACCACTGTCTTGTGTGGGCCCGTCTCTCAAAGTGATCTCCATGAGCAACCATGTCAAGCTGCTGCAGAGAGGAAGGCTTCTGACTTCAGTCAAGAGAGACGGAGGCATGTGGATGTCTTGGGTGAGTTTTTCAACTCTGGGCCTCTACGTTCTTTTGGCAAATGGAGGATAATACTGACCTCAGA